TCGGCACCCAGTCCTTAGAAGTCTCATCCCACACCATTCTACTGCGCTTCTTCTTATCGTCCAGACCCTTATCCTTCGCAAACTTCTCCCACCTGAGCGATTGATGGTATCAAAAAGTTCGAAAGCCCATGTGGTACCTGGTCATCGGCTTAGGTTTCGGGAGAGGCTTCTCACGAGGAAGTCGGACAACCAAACCATCAGGCTGACGAGCCAGCTGAGTCGCCTGACCATAACCGTCACGCGCCATGAAATTAATAACTGCTCTGCTAACCTCTGGCAGAGTGGCGAAGACGGGCCCTTCAGCGATGCCAGCAGACTCAGTACGGAGATCAAAAATGCGATTGATCAATAATTGGGTATTGTCCCGAGCTGAGCGAGGAGGCGTAAATTCCGACCCGCCCAGTTTCAGTGTACTACCGATCTCCTCAATATCATCCTTCTTAGCATCGATATGGTCGATATCAAAAGCTGCAAGGTCGCACAACTGGTAAGAGAGGTTATCCTCCTTAGAAGGGTAGGGGGATCGGAGAGTAGAGGTAGACATTATACCACAGTATATCCCCTACGGCGTATCAACTAGTATTCACACTACAGTAGCATGTTGACATCGCATTGTGAACCCCGATTTGGTATGGTGTGGGATATGGAGGTCCTCGACAGGCCCTACCTCGCTGTTTTCGAAGGGGTGCTATGTGTAGGAGGGAGCGCATCGTACTTAGTAGTATTACCCCCGTATACTCCGCTCTAGATGACTACTTTCTCCATCAAGCCGTATCTTGTTCTATATCTCCATCATGACCATAGATGGAAGCGTGGAGTAGACCCCTCTCATGCCCTTGAGTTCACCTTAGAGGACCGGCCCGACCGCCAAGTGGTACAGTGCGATCAAAAGTGGGTCATTCAAACTACCACACCAATAACCTCATCTCTCCTCCATGGGTTCAGTATGCTGCACTCAACTGCATTTTCTCAGTGGCCCGAGCCGTTCCTGTTTACAGCTAAAGTGCGATCCTTGAGTACCGCGCCCCACGAGAGGCTGAGTTGGTCAACTAGGGCGTACTCGGCGATAAATGCATCTAACTTGTTCTGTTCGCAGATCCTACATTGCGAACGAGGAAGGGGTATGACGTATTCTGGGAGTTTGCTGCATCGAGAAGACAGCATAGATACTACCCTGCAGACCCAACAGCTAGTTGCCCGACTAGGGTCTCGAA